GGCCGCTGTGCCGTGGAGCGGGGGTGAAACTGCAGCTGAGACATCATCTTCCTCATGTCATGTCTTGCCGGTTGTCCCCTTGTTTCTGAAACGTGCGCCTCTGGGTTTTCTTTGGCTAGAGTGTGATGGTGGTGTCTGTGAGTTCTAGTGCAGTGCCACAGAACTAAGCCGATCTTCAGCCTTTAGCCTTACTTTGCTTGCCTTATCAACACCTTGTGGAGTTCAAGGTTTGTAGACTGTGTTAACTAAGAACAAAGTTTCTGTACTTTCTGTAGTTCAGCAAGTGCTTTGTAGACCCCATACAGACAAGGTCAGTCTGATGCCACTGCACAAGGATCGTGTACGAAAAGGAAAGAGTCAATCAGTCACACCCAAGCATCCACAAAACAGGTATATAAATCAAGGGGTAAGGAGGAAGTGACTTTCACTGTTAGATCACATGCAGCAGCATTTTATCCTCCAACCTTGTATGTGGAATCAGTGTGGCTGTTTCAGGAAATTTGTTTTTATTGACAGGCTAGAAGAACCTTTGACCAAAACACAGATACCTTAGGGTAAGGGGAAAGGTCATTTCTGTTTACCCCCTGACCCCATCATGGTAGCTGGTTAGATCACAATGACTGCCCATTCACAGTTCTCTGATAACTCCTCTGGGATGTTGTGGGTTAACCACAATAGGCAGCTAAGCACAACACAGCTGCCTGCTTATTCCGCTTCCTTGCCCAGTGGGACAGGGGAAGAGAAACATTAAAACCAAAAAAATTTATGGATTAGGATAAAAATAAGTTTAATAAGAGAAGAAGTGGAGGGGAGAGAAAAAGAACAAAAGTGATGCAGAGGCAGACACTCACCATACAGTTTCTGAGCAAAGGGCAGCTAGCCCACCTAAACACCCCTCTTCCAGTTTGCAGAACATGATGTTATATGGTACTACTCTTTGATTAGTAGGGGTCATGTCCTACTTGTTTCCCCTTCTAGTCTTCTGCGCACTCACAGAGTAGTCACATCTGAAACACAGCACCACAAGGGTTGCTATAAGGAAAATGAATTCCATCCCAGCCACAGCCAGCCCAGGGATTCTTCCCTAAGAATTTTTTCTTTATGCCAGTGTAGCTGTCCACCAAATACCCTCAGGAAGTTTTGCAAGCTTGCCAATACTCCTGCATGTGCTGTTTTACTTGGAAAGCCTGCCAGGAGGCTTACTAAGGCCTGCGTGCTGTGGTGCTAACCTTGGGAGACTTAAAATACTGTAACACAGAAGTTTGATGTTCAGAAGCTTCTCTTCTTTCTTTCTCTTTCTTTCTTTGTTTCTTTGTTTCTTTGTTTCTTTCTTTCTGTCTTTCTTTCTTTTCTTTTCTGTTCTTTTTTGTCTTCTTTCTTCTTCCTTCCCTTCCCTTCCCTTCCCTTCTCTCCTCCTTTTTCCTTCCTTCCCTTCCCTTCCCTTCCCTTCCCTTCCCTTCCCTTCCCTTCCC